TCATAGAAATAAAGTTCTCATTAATAACTTATGATTGAATTATAGCTGAGCTTAGCTGACTGCGATGATGACCTTTTATTTAAGCATTCTAAGCTCAAAGTTCCCTTAGAATATATTGCTACTTTGTTTATTTGCTGCTTAATAAAATCACGTCTATTTGCATACATACATATGTTATGTTGTTATTATATGTATATATATATTTTATTTTTTATAAGCAATGACAAATTAGTTCTATTCTGTGTCCCTTTTTGAATTTGAATTAATTTTAGTGCCGTTTAGTTTGTTATTTAAAACTGTAAATACTTGTTGTAAAATAATGGTTTGTGACGTCACAATGTTTGTGCACTTCTATGCCAGTGTTGAACAATTCTGCGTAAATTGAACTGTCGTGCTTTGCAACACGGTTTTGTGCGTGACTAAAAATCGTGACATGCGTGTCGCAAAGTACATTTTACGTTTTGGTTTTTACATATTTTCTATTGATACCGCTTGAATAGGAGTAGCAACAATGCACGTCGAAAAGAAATCGGAATTGAGAAGTCTTCTGAAATCGGGTGACAAGCGCTGTAAATTGGTGGAACCTCGAAACGCTAAGAGCTGCGTTTGGCGATTCTTTAACCTGGTGTCTTGTGATGATCGAATAGAGCCGTATGCCTGTTGTAAAACCTGTGGCGATCTTTTGTCGTACAGCGGGAAAACAGGAACTGGCAGTCTATTGCGCCATAGATGCTTGCACACGACTAACGGTAAGTTTTGGATCTGATATTCACGCACGCCCCCTCACACTGCCACGCGTGTTCAGAGCGGGTAGCTCTGTTGTTGTCATCGCCACCGCTTGTCCTAGTGCTGTGATATGTGCTCTGCAATTTGCATTTTGGTTAGATAATTGTGTCAATCCAGTCGAATTGGTCAAATCGACTCTGGATACTAGAATTGATTCTTTCATTTAAAAGCACCATGGTGTCTGCTGAGGGTATTCGAGCTGCGAATAAGTAGTAGTGTTAGAGGTTGTCGAATAATTGTGACCCAGCATAGGATGTTGCTTTATTAATTGGTTATAAAAGTGGAAATGTGTCGTTCAGTGTTTTGTTATAATTTATAGGATTTAGTTTTGTGCTGTTTAGATTTATTTATTTTCTTTGTTTTGCTTGATTGAAACGTGTCGTTTCGCAACACTGTTTCTCGCCTGAATTTTCCAACACCGGCGCCAACAACGCTAACATCGCTATTGCGTTTTTGTGGGAAAAAATTAGAATTGAGAAAGTTATTTTGTAAAAAAAAACATTTGAAAATGCCTAAAGGTCGCGTTAGCAGTGTTTGGCAGCATTACGATATCAATGAGGAGTGCGAAAACTTTGCAGTTTGTCGCTATTGCGGCAATAATATATCGCGTGGTGGCATGGCCAGCAACCTGAAGGGTAACAACACCACCAATCTGTGGACACACTTGAGGCACAAGCACGCCGATGAGGTGCTGGTCAATCCCATACAACAACGCCCAATTAGCCGACCTGCAGTTATTACTTTAAAGAAAGGTATGCCAAATGCAGTGCTTATCACAACATTTATTGACCTATTGACGCACCTATCGATCCCGCGCGACTGTCCCCAATTGGAAACTATCGCAAAACGATGACGCCCAGCCCTGCTTTACAGCTGGGAGCCGGCAATTTATTGACATATGATTTATATATATCGTATTGCGCACCTGTAATTGTGTTTACACTTCATCCTTTCAGAAAAAACTTCACGCATCGCCAAGGCTAAAGTTGTGCGTGAGCCGCTTCGGGTTGCGAAACCAAAAGTCGATGTGCATGCATCCATAGCTGGTGCGCTGCCCCAGAAGTGGGAGGAGTACGAGCAAAACGACGAGGTCAGCGAGGACATCAAGGACATTATATACAGTGAGGATCCGCTCTGCTACAGTCCCATACAAGTGGTCGAGGATGAAATGCTAGATGCTGGCGAAAAAGTCACCGTGGTGAGCAGCAACAGGACAACAACCAATCCAGTTGTTGCTACCGTGGTCTCAGCTCCCACAAGCGCTGCAAAAACATTGAAAAACAACTTGGAAACATCCATTGAACGGCTGACCACGGTCAGCGAGCAGCTAAGCTACGTTATTCAGCAGCAACAGGAGGAGCAGCAGCTCAAGGATGATGACTATTATTTTGCGTTAAGCCTGGTACCCATAATGCGACAGCTGTCGGTCAGCCGTAAGCTTTACGTCCGCTCGAAAATCCATGAAATTTTGTACAAAGAGAGTGAGGAGACTAGAACTAAAACTGAATAATAGAACAAGCTAAAAACTACGGATATACATAAATCATTTTAAACTTACCCAAGCTGAAGAAGAAGCAGAAATCACTACAAAAAAAAAAAACAAAACAAAAGAAAGAAAGAGAAAAAAAAAACAAACACAAAAATTGTAACATTTATCTTATCAACAACTATTCATATAGGCTAAAATGTTTATATGTACGTTTGTTAACGTACCATTTGCAATTCTTAGTTGGAACATATAATTAATAAGCACATATGTTGAGACGAATTCGTATTGATAATTTAGCATGTATGTATGTATTCAAATATTTAATGCAAAACTCTTACAAAACGCTAATAAATTTACCTAAGACCTCCAAAGTAGATTCCTCCTTATAACTATTATGGTATAACTTTACTTAAGCTCTAATAACTTGCATATTTCTTTCAAATCTACTGTAACATTTCGAAATAAGAATAGTAGGTTTTCTTCTGGATGCTACACTTACCATATTCAATATATTCTTTGTTTAATTATGTAAATCTGGATACGGATACCTTAGCGGTGTTAAGTCAGAAGCTGCAATATGTTATAGCATGAGTAAGAGTTGTCTGGTAGAAGAAGTATGTAGTTCGTAGCTTTTGTAGTCTTGGATATTATAGTAGCTAATCGTTTCGGCTTTTGATCAGTGTCTATCTCTGTATATTAAACTGTTTGTCCTTGACTGTTTGGTTCTCATAGATCTTTTAGAAAACAGTCTGTTTTTTGGAATATCTCTCTCTTTGATGGAAGCGATCGGTCGTTCAATTTAGCTCGACATTTATTAGGTTCACTTTTCTTCTCACATACATGCAACATCCTATTTACATCGGATATATTAAATATATTAACTATAAGATCTGTGCTGAAAAAGATATCCGATATTTACCAATCTTATCAAGACCGCAATACAATATTGTATAGCTCTATAAAGTTGATTCGATAGAAACCAATATTTATAAGTTTTTGAAATCTTCGGCGTGCCGAATATATCCGTACTTTCTCGTTTAATAACGGGCTTCACAATTCTGCAAAACTGTTAGCATATGTCTACAAGGATATTTAATATACTCTTGTATTACAATTCTATAGATCAATGCAAATATCGTATTAGATGATGCTCTTAGTGATTCAGGCATTCATTCCGGGAAATGAGTACACGTCCGGCGGAGGCGGGACTGGGAAGTATAATGAGTGAAATAAGTTTTGGTTTCGTTAGTTAATTTATGTTTTAAATAAATTTTATTTAAATAACTTGTTGAGATTTACAAAACAGAGAGCATTACTAGAAGTATAATTTACAAATCGATTTCTGGAGCTAATTTGTGTGGCTTACGCAATGCTTACAACTAGAAATATGATTTGTATCAATAATGCATTATTATTATTTATATTTTATTTTGCTTCTATTTAGCTGTCAATAGATTTACGTGTCTCTAGAAATACGCATATATAATACAATATCAATACAATAAACCCTACAGATCGAGTAATAAACAATAAACTTACTAAGTATATGCACCCCCAATATCATCTATATTTTGTTATATGTATCTGTTTATTAATCTTAATCTCTAGTCAACAAATGTTCGGTAGTTGATTAATCTTCGATTTTGAGTAGCGGATGTGTTAATTCTTATGTAGGGACTCTAGACCTACTAGCTGTGTGTTCTGATGGGATCGATTAAGTGCACCATATGCCAAAACTTTGATAAGTATTTGTGAGTTAATTTATTTTTTTTTTTTCGGGTATAATTAGCTATTCGTTAGCAGCCCAATCATATTTTATTTATTTATAGTTTATTACATTTTTAAATTGTTATTTGTAGGTATATATCATTTTGATTATGGTTCGTCTACTCTGCCAGTTCGACACAGTTTCTAAGTGAGTTTATCAAAATTTGTTCGGAAAATGATATGAGAGATATGAGCTGGAAATATAATTTGATTCATCGATCTCCAAATAAATAATATATGTTTATATATATATTAATTTGTGTATCTTGTTTTTGGTATTTAATTTTCGTATACAAGCATTTAGATATATCCAAAATTGATTTAACTTTATTTTCGCATGACTTTCAGATCATCATCGTATTTATCATAGGTGTGTATGTAAATGGGTATATTTTGTTCTATTCACAGTTCCGATAACTACATCCAATAAATATTTGATATATATATATATATATATATATATATATATATATATATATATATATATATATATATGTACATATATCGATTAATCAAGCAAATCTTAGGTGTGCAACAAGCTGAACCGGCCAGGACTTTAACAAGAATTTATCCGTAAAGAACGGGTCGGTTCCGTTTATTGACACCGGACTATCTTAGATCTTAGTTTATAGAGCGGGCCGCAGTCCACGTATGATATGAGTTGCTGTTTTATTCATATGTATTCTGTTATTTGATATGGACTTAAAACATTTTATGAGATTTTTTTTTTTTCGTAATTTACAAGGACATTTATAAAAAGTAATCAATCAAAAATAAACAACTTGTTTTCATTTTTGCATATTTATACAATAAATATATTAGTGTATTTTTATATATTGTTGAATTTGGAAACATTTTCATCGCTTATTGCACTGTCGAGCGTCTTTCTGTTTATTTCGTTTTGGAGCGGGTCTCGGAGCCTGGGCCAACAGCTTCCCTTAATAATAATATTATTTGGTTGATGTCACCAGCTGACTGGTGCTATAGCCCTGTGTGTTGCAGGTGGGCAGGGCGAATGGGTTGAAACTCAAGCTGCTGACTCCTGCAAGTAAAAAAAAAACGATATATTTTTAAAATTTAATTTAATTTAATCGCTGTGGCGTCATCAAATTAAAGCATTTCTCACGACAACTAATTTAAAATTAATTTAAAAAAAAACTTAAAGCATCTGAAATATTTCCATGATAATATTTTATTTATTCATATCTGAAATTGTTTTAAAAAATTAATCTAGTCGCCCTAACAAAAGTTTTCTTTACTATCCGAAAATATCTTAAGTTGATGTAAGAAAATTACATAAGCTAATAATTCAAATTAAATTGTGCGCCTCATGGTATGCTAAGCTTATCGAACATTTACTGGATTATCTATGTTCCGAATTTCGATTTCGATTCGATATCGCAATTTTTGTTGTAGCATACTTAAGAGGGATTTCCGAATTAAAATGTCGGTTTCACAGTGATATTAACCAGGGCTGCCAACCCCAAAATACTCGTCGGCGGTTCAGAGTATTTGGTTCGTGAAGCTGGTTGTCTACCTTATCCTTAAGCACATTTGGTTGGTTGAAAACTTGGCTATGCTTAAAATTGTAATGAAAAAAATGTAACTTTGTGTTGCAAATGCAAAACTCTTAGAAAAAATTATAAATACCGTTATTATTCGAAATATTTGTAATATTCGATATACTCGAAAGGGAATTGTGCAACGCCAAATTATAAATACCGTTAATATTGGAAATATTCGAAAAGAAGCTGTGCAACGCATATGAGAAAAGTGTTGAAAAAATTATAAATACCGTTAAACAAGTGTTGGTTGTGTGTTGATGTTGTTGCTGTTGTGGCAGTTATTGTTGTTGTGGTGGATGTGTTTTATGAGAGACACAACGGCGGAATCCCAATCACCAGCTACACCCACTCATCAGAGTCGTCGCCGTCGCCGTCGCCGTCGCTGGAGTTGGATGCAGTGTTATCAGCGGAGCTGCCCATTGTCAACGCGAGGCGCCAATCAATGATTGTTTTTGGGGGCGTCTCTGCTTGGCTGCCGATAAGGTTGTGCTTTGAATGTAAGTGTGCGCGCGAGTGTGTGTGTGTGTGTGTGTGCGTGTGTGAGGGCCTGTTAGCTGCTCCAAGCTCCGTGCTGTTGTTGCCGTTGCCGTTGCCGTTGCTCTGCTTCGTCCTCGTTGTCTGCGTTGCTTAAACGGCCGCCGCGGTCGCTGCTGAGACGGCGGGATTGTGCCAGGGCTGGTGCGGATGGGGATAATGATGCGGGTGGGCGGCGGCGACATGGTGATGCTGCACGAGGGCCGAATGCCAAGGCGTCGACACGGACACTGTTGGGGATTAATGTCGAAAAGGCACTTGCTGAGCAAATTTTCTTTCACTTTGTGGTGGGAAGTCAGTTTTCGAGTAGGTGTTTGTATGGGTAGGGTAAAACAGAGCTTAAATAAAACTAAACTAAGCGCGAAAAAAATAATTGGAAATAACCATCATCAATCTAACATTTTCCTTAGCGTTGTTCAAAGGATGCTGGGTAAAACTTCGGGACGATTCAAGAACATCCCAAAGTTCGGATGGGACCCCAATATATTTCGTAAAAGTATCTTTTACCATGTAGATTATAATTTGTTCATTGCTTGACGCTTATAATTCCCAACAAGTAAAAGCAAGAAAGGAACGCAAAAGGCTGCGAATCTGCGTAGCCTAGACATCGACTTGGGTTCAGGATTGCTTCACTTCACCTTCTTCTCAATAAAATGTTCATCAATGATTACAGATACCCAATACGGAAACAGATTAAGCTCGGAGTCCGATTCTTAGAATGCAGGGAAGGGCATACTGCTGGCAGGACTCAAGTCTGGGTGGGGGCACTTACTTGACGTGGAGTTGAATACGCTGCCTGGCGACGATGACAGCGTACCCATATTCGGTGCGGGCGCATATCCATTCGCAGTCGCTGCGACGGCGGCGGTGGCTGCCGTGGCGCCATAGGAGCCACCCGAGCTGTGGGGCGTGGAGGCGCTGCTGCAGTAGCCGCCGCGGGGACTGACGCTGCTCGACTGGGCGCGTTGGTAGTCGTCCTCGGTCCACTGGCCGGTGCCATCCTGGACGCTGACCGCCAGCTGACCTGCGTACGAGTTGAAGCTCGTGGAACCGCCGGGCGATCTGCTGCAGCAAGAGCGGCGTTAGAGATTTCCGCCGAAGATCGGTTAGGGCTGTCGCTTACCTGGGCATGGAGTAGAGCGCCTCGACAAGATCTGCTGCGCGTTTGAGAATGATTTCCTTTTGTAGCTTCTCCGGATCGCCAGGATGCCTGGGTATGAGTTTCTGCAGCCGCTGGAAGCCATAGTCGATTGTAGGTTCGTTGAGTGCTGCTTGAACGGCATAATCAAACCGGTGGAAAGCTTAGACATGCTAACAGTCAGACATGGAGAACAGGTTCTACTTACAGACATAGACAAAGCGTCCGGGCGAGCCCTTGCAGAACTGCTTGCTCTTGTAGGAGAGCGTCACCTCGACAACGCCGGGTATGTGTCGCGGCGGGGTCTGGACCCGTATCGCGTGCGATGTGATCAGCTCGCTCCACACCAGCATTGTGCCAAAGACCACCTGCAATCCGTCAAAGAAATTGTCGCCAACAATGATGACTGTGGCGCCGCCTGTGGTCCAGCCCTCGCTGGGCGATATCGCCTTGATGCAGGGCGTGGCCACGGGCAGCGGCGGGTAGAGGCCTGCAAACGGTGCGGAAATAAACGAGGATTAGTTTGGCTGTGGACGTGAGGAGGAACAGGAGAATAAAATCAAGAAACGGGTTCGAGTTGCCAATTGCTACAGAATCGAAATGAAAACGAAAATGAAAGCTCCGTTAGGGGAGAAAAGAGCTAACAACTAACTAACTGATCGGTTAATTGGAATTTAGTTACAGACCATCGTAGGTACTGTCGGGCGCTAGGGGGTGACCGGATATGGACAGGGATGTGTTGCCTGTACCTTCCGTTGTGTCCAGTCGCTTGGCGCGGCGTCCGTGCTTCGAATTGTTGTGCACGAACATGTTGTCCGAGATGGCCAGCAGTGGTCCGTCCACGGCCACCTGGGTGGAGATGACGACCTGGCAAAAGTACGGAAAATGGCCACATTAGAAAACGATTTAAATAATTCTTAATCTAAATCATAAAAGTCCAGATATGCTGAGTCGTTGTTCCTCTTCGAAGACACGGCTTGTTTTCTTCTTAAACTTAAATTGAGACGTACCTGAAATCTTCTCATGTCTCGCGGATTGCCAGCATTTTTGAGGCAATTCTGATTGCACTTCAAGAAGAATTTAAGAAAAAAGCTGCAAGCACAAACAATTAAGAAAACTAGTTAATAATTATTAATCATAATGAAAAAGGAAAATGATTTGTCGCTGCACATTCGAATGCTCGACAGGGCAAGGCCGGATTCAGATTGCGGCGGCTTTTATTAGTTGCTAATGATCGGTTGCGCCTTTTGCAGTTGCCACTTGCCGCTTGCCACTGGCCACGGCTGCCACGTTTTGCAGCAGATGTTTCGCCTTGGGCTTGAGTCAATCCACTTGCATCCCCCCCCCCCAACATGGCTCGGGCCAGCAATTGCCGCGGGCGGCGCAGCGTGCGATAAGCGCTCGGTTCGGGCTTGGACTCGGGGTGACAGTTATGTGTGTCCTGCAGGCAGGATATTCGAAATTGACACCCGTGTGTCGCGCATTTAAATGGTAAAATATACAACACCAACTGCCTGCAGCCATCCCCCTTCCCTCTATGCGTCTCCTGTTGATTTTATTTGCTGAAATAATATTTTGTCGCTGCAGGGGTCGCCCCGCCGAATTGGCAGCTACTTTTTCAGTACTTTTTTCAGGCATTTTTGTTGTTTCTTCACTCGACAAATTGGACAAATTAGTGCAGGGGGCGTGTCACTCTTGCCCACTCTCTCTCTCTCTCTCTCTCTCTCGTCTCCCTTCTGGAGTTGTGGGGATCCACGCAGGCACATGTGCATATGTGCACACGTTTGGTGTGCCATAAATTTGTTTATTGTTGTCCTGATGAAGTGTAGTTCAAGAGGATATCCTCTCGAGTCTGAGATGTGTTGAAAGGTGTGCATGTCCTGAGCTTGAAATGTCATATGATATGCCTGGATCACATGGCATATATCTGGCCAAATTTGGATTGAAGGACCCAAGGCATATCTATTCGAAAGGTATTAGCAAACCCTTACTAAAACAAGCAGATTTATCAATATATTTTGATACCTAGTAAATACTTCATTTTTCGAAGTTTAGCTAGAGACAAATTGTTAACTGAAAAATCCAATTCGCAATCATCCAAACACCAGGCAAACACCAGGAAAATATTGTATCTAGCATATTCGGCATTTGACTTTGCATATTTGCATTTCTTGAGACTGTTTAAAAACATTTTTATGGGTCATATATAAAACAATATTTGACGATAGCAAAACACAAATTTGACATACTCAATATGTGAAATTTCAATTTCGATTCGATAAAATACACGAGAGTAACAAATGCCAGACCTATTTCGGCTTATCAGAGAATTTGAGTGCGGCATTGGGCACAATTAATAACGAACTTCATACATTTCGGACTATGAATAATGTATATATATATATATACAGATATATATATATATATGTGTGTGTGTGTGCATATTGGGCCACGCGCGAGCTGATTGTGAACTTGTTGAAGCCGTAGTTGGATCCGGGAATGGAAACAGATGTGCGTGTTGTATTTTGTTTTTATCCACTGTGCCAGCAACAGCAACAACAACAACAACAAACAGCATCAACATGAGCAGCATCATTAACACGGCCATCGGCGTTCCCTGAGGGACGCAGCGCCGTGTATCTGTCAGATACAATATCGAGTTACACAGAGACCCTCACAGATGCAACTGCAGTTGTCGGCATTGAAATTTGAATACGTATCGAGTGGATATTGAGAGCTGCTTTGTTTGGGAATAGGTTAACTCATTTACGGCTCATTCACGGTACTAATTTTTTTGTTCTAGCAGCCACCCCCGACGCGGCCCTAGCCCAGCCTCTATATGGGCAGCTAATTGACTTTCTCGGAAGTAGAGTAGGGGCAGCGACTTGTTCTCAAACTCGCACGCTTGAATTACAATGTTTTCAAATATGCTGACAGGACGCATAAATTGCCAGAGCGATGCGCGGCCCATGCAGGCTTCCCCATTTGCATATGCCAAGGACTGTGAGAATCCTTGCTGATTCAATTCAATCTGGACTGGATTTCTTGGGATTTTTGTTACTCGGATCCTGAAGCGCATCTTTGCTTTGCTGTTTGACCGTTTTGTGGCCCAACTCCGGCTGGGCAATTAAAAATTCAACGCGCGTCCTGCCAATAAATCAAAGTGTCTCCATCTTCGTCCTGGCTGTGGGGCAACAAAGTTTCTTCGACTTTTTCCTGCCTCTGGCTGCTGGCCACGCGAAATTTTCATTTAATGAAAAGCTACGCATCATCAAACGCGCGCACATGACATTCGCCTGGCCAGCAAAATGGCCAGCTTAAATGGGCAAAAATGGCGTCCACAGACCCATTGGCATCTGGAGCACGTAGAGCCAACGAAGTGCATAATTGGTCATTCATATTTGGCCTGGCCAGGAGCTGCCAATAGCTGCTTGTTTCGGGCTACTTAACATTGCCAAGCAGCTTTAAATTTCAGCTCAACTCGATTGAAGCCAGTTGAAGTTAAAGAAAAGAAAATATAGAGTTCATTTTGTAAATTTTATATATAATATAAAAAAATCATGAATATTTGAACAATATCTCCCTTTAAAAAAACAATATTAATTCGAAATAAACAGACTTCTGCACTAGGCTGAATTAAAATTGAAATAAATACGAACAGGTTGTAAACTTTCGAGCCGCCGGGAATATCCAAGTTGGAGTTTCATGAATGCTCCAACGATTAACTGCGAATTTGTGAATCAACAACAACAACAACAACAACAGAAACAAGAGAATTGAGCTTTATCTTTGCATCGCTCGCACAACATTTAATGATGAATACGAACGTGCATAAATCGCTTTGGGTTCTGGCCCTGGCTTGGAGCTGTCGGTGATGTTATCTGGCAGCCTGTGGCAGTAGTAGGAGGCGTCAACAGAATGTAGCCGAAAGCGTTTTGTGGCGCACGCCAAGCAGCGCCACGGCACAGGTGAGTGGCACCTCCTGCCACCTGCCTTCTGCCTTGTAGCCGCTGCGGGCAACTTGGCGCTAATTTTTCACTAACGATAATATTCAAAATTTTCAACTTTATTGCCGCATAAAGTCAATGGCTATGCCAGACACGAACACACGCAGAGCCCAATGCTGCCAGTTTAGCAGTTTTCGAGCTAAATGCGGCCGTCTTCGGAGATTGTCAGCAGTTAATAGCTGAAATGTGCAATGCGTGCATAGATATTTGTTTCGATTTAACTGGCCAGTATTGTAAAAGGCGAGGGACTTAAGCCGCTTAACAGCACTGTCAGAGCGCTCTGGTGTGACTGTACGTCAGATTAAACAGAAATCTTCAGAGAAATGCACTTCGCTTAAAAGGAAAGCAATATGGACTCTGGTCATTCAAGGCAAAAAAATATATATCTTAACAAAATTGTATTGATTTGCTAATTAGCTTCTTTTTTTTCGTTTTAGCAGTTTTTAGCATTCGACTTAGATACTTTTAGTAGCGATACAATTGGCATCACTGTCCAAAACGTACAAAGACACTGCGAAAAACTTACTTTGGCGCCATTTCCATGGCATTTTCACGCACACGCACACGCACATACACTTTTCACACAGACACACACCAAGGCAAAAGATGGCGGCCGACGTCACCATTTTGTTGATGTTCAGGTTCAGGGCTGCTGCTGCGACTGCTGTTTTCTATTGTTGTTGGAACTTTTATTTATTTATGCTCTTTCTCGGCTTAGCGCTGCACGCTTCGCGGCGCACGCACAGACACCCGCAACACCCCGCAACCACAACCCCATGGAGCACCCCAAGCGTGCTGTAAAGATTTCCCGCCACCCGTCTCGATGTCGCGTCGGCACAATCCTTATCAAAATCGCACTTGGACTTGGACTTGGACTTGAACGTCTTTGGCCGTCTTTGTTGAGAGTTCATAGCTTTTGGGTCTTTGTAATAGACTTTGAGGGCGGTTTTCCATGCTCTGTTTCTTTTGTTGTTTGTGTTTTTGTGTGTTTTGTTACGCTTTCGTTTTCGTTGTGGCTCATCCTTTTGGCAGGAAGAGAAAACCTTAGTATGGAACTTGTTGAAAACACTTTCGCTTATCCATCAGAATCCTCGCCAAGAGAGCGAGAGCGAGAGCGAGCGTGAGAGCTAATGCAAAAGTGAGCAGCATTTCGAGTGAGTTCTGAGTGAATTTCCGTATCTTTTGAGTGGAGCTTTGCCTGCGTTCATTTCGTGAATGAATCTTCCCAAGTATGGTATGAGAGTAAGGTTGGGGGGGCTGATGCTTTTTTGGCAGAGTTTTGTTTGTTTTGGGCGTGCGTGTGCGTGTGTGCGTATGTGTGTGCTGGGGGTTGCTTTGGGATTCAATGTCATGCCGCTGGGACCAGGGAAATACCTCGTAACTGTTCTAGTCGATGTTGTTGTTTTTGTTTTTACCGGGAGAAGCAGCAGCAACAGCAGCAGCAGCAGCAACAACAAAAACAACTTTGGCAGCTTTTTTTGTTTGCGATTTCTTCATCTTTAAACTGATTATTTCTGTAAGCACACACGCATCTGTGAGCATGTGTGTGCGTGTGTGTGACCATAAAAATACCATATCGAGGTTAAATATCAGACATCGATAAAAGCTACAGACAGACAAAGATACAGCCACAAGGAGTACAAATACAAAAGTATCTTTGCATGCGTGCTGCTGAAAGTATCTGCGTATCTGTAGCTGTAGCTGTATCTGTATCTGTGTCCGTGTGTTTGGGTTTTGGTCCCAACATCAATGTCTTTAACTTTTGCTACTCTTTGGCTTATCCCTTTGCATCCGGTTCTAACCTTTGGCGAACTACTGAGCCATCAAATTATCGACCTTATTGAAATGCGTAAATTATGCTAACTATTTTGTAGCGATACTTCTGAGCGTGTGCGAGTGAGTGTGAGTGTGTGTGAGTGTGTGGATGCCTATGTTGACTGCCAGTTAACGCTTTTAATATAATTAATTATGCAGCATGTGTAAATGGCGAAGGAAATAGCTAAACGAATCACAACCCATGAGAAACATGAGCTGAGCTCCTTTAGAAGCTGCCTAATCAGAAGCCATTTGGCGGGCATCTGTAAA